GGAAATAGGCCGAAGGCCCATACCAGATAACCTGCAAACACACAAACTAAAAAAAAAAAAAAAGAGGGAGGGGGAGGGGGGGCTCGGCAGCTCGGTCCTGAGGACAGGAGGGGCTCAAGCCCACCCTGCCCCCCCCGCTTCCAGAGCCCCTGAACGTGATTTACTAAGACAGGCCTGCATTCAAATTTTGGCCGTCAGAGAAAAACGGATGGATCCAGAGGGTTGAAACTTCACAGGTAGCAAGGTACCAGAGGCCTCAAATTTCAGTAGGCATACCTTTACGAAAGGAGGTTCCAAAGCTTAGAAAAAAAATCTTTCGGCTACAGGACCCAGGTGTGTCTTTATTTAAAATCCAGAGCAGATAAAGTTTTCTAATAACTTTCGAAAGGTGCACTGGCCGTTGCTAAACAAGAAACAAAAACAGTTTTCTCAAGAAAACGTACGAGGGAGGAGGGCTGAGCAATATCGAACCCGAAAATTGGTGCTTTCCTGTGGAAAGTCGCATCAGTGCTCGTAAAGTAAAATATCCACTCGATCAGAGGTAAAGTACAGTCGTCGGGTGTTCTACAAAACGCCTGCTCACGTTTGACACCAACATCGCGTCTCGGAAACGAAAATTCAGCCTCGGAGGTCCGAACAAAGGTTTCTAAAAGTAGAAATGGCCGCCATGACCATGCCCACGGTAAAAGCGTCGTAGCATCGCGAAAACTTTTATTTCACACGTTCAAAGTGGTGTCCGTAGAGTCTAGAAAGACCAAGGAACACATCGGTGCTAGCGGTGATGAGATACGACCAGTATTAATGAAGGGAGATCAACGAGAATGCTTCCCTTAATAAATAGTGCAAAAAATAAACAAAATAATAAAGAAAAAAATACCCGATGCGAGTGGTGTGTCTGCCCTCCACCAGGCGGCGCGATCCCCTTCCCGACTTTTTTCCTTCTCTTTCCCTCTCCTCCTCGCTCATCCTCCTCCGCTTTCCTTTGTTCCCAGAGGCCGGCATAGAGTAATATAGTAAACGTAAAGAGAGGACACTGAAGCCGATTCGCGGCCCAGATAGTGCGTTTCATACCCTCCGCTACGTGGCGCTTTTCTGTAATTTGGTTAATATTAATTAGAGCTCTGTCTCCGAAAAGTATTTATTTTTTAAATTGTTATGCTTTACAGTTATTTAAAGTACTTAAAACGATTAATAGTGTTAATCAAATACGTCACAAAAACCACGTGATGAATGGCGCCTGCCATGGCCTGCCTGCCTCGCCTGCCTGCCCGCCGTCGCCTCTGCTCGTCCCTGCGTCGTTCGTCTGTGCCGTGCGTGCCGTCCATCTGTGCTTTCTGCTGCATCATGTTCGGTCGACTTTGCATCAATCAAGGTGACGCATGACCGCCCGCGTGCTCGCATGCTCGGCGTGAATTCGTGGAGCCGATCGGTTCGAGCTTCTCGCGCTGTTGTTTCTGCCGGGCTGTCTGGCTGCACTTGAACGTGTGTGCATGTTGATTTTCGATAAGATTGTTTTAAAAAAAGAATATAACTTACGACCCTGCACACGACATTGTCCATGGGCTCACAGATGACGGTGTTGAACGACCCTCTAACATTGCAGATAGAGCCTTTGTCGTTGTGCTGTCTGAAATTTCCAGGAGGTGCGTTTAGCCCCTTGCATACACTGTTGCGCGTACTTCAACAACGTCTTCTGTTTAACGCAGTCTCCTCATTTCTCTCATTCGGGAGCTTAAAGGGGCGGTGCAACGATATTCAATTGGAATGTTTTTCACTTTACACGAGCTTACTGGCACTAGTGAAACTCAAGGATACTCGCACGTAACGCCACTGACCAAGAAACTCCTTTGTTGCGCTGTAATTTCGAGGACAAAACCGAGTGTTTTCATTCAATCTCTCCTTCGAAAAACCTGATGACTTAGCTGGGCGGTAGCAGTACCGCCCTGTGACGATATTTGTATACGGTTCATAGACTGGTCCCGAGCATGGCGTGGACACTCGATTTGGACTCGTGATAATCAACAGCTCGAGAAACATTTGGGGAGTGTCCTGTGTCCAATCGCTGCAATGACGACAACAGCCGAACCATAACATTGTCTGGAACTCAGCGCGTGTCCTGTGAAATGCCAACTCCAGCGCATGGCTATGATCAACATTGGCGGCATATAATCGGCTCCAGATCACGGGGCCGCTTGTTCTGGCTGCGAGTTGAGGGGGTGAACTCTGCTCGTTTTTCTTTATCTTTTTTCTGCGACTTCGATTGCGTGTGGTGAAAACGAACGGGTATTTCACAGATCATTAACGTCAGGGATTCGTCCTAGGCGGTATTCGAGTAAAATACAAATATCAGTGTATCGCCCCTTAAAGACTGTTGGCTTCACAGTAAAGGCTGTGGCCTGTGGTTAGGGAGCTTCAAACGTAAGCTTGGTGTGTGTGATGATAAGCCTTTTTTTTTTTTAATTGACAACGAACACGTTTACTTTGTCTTTGATGTTCCGCACCTTCCCAAAACACCCAAGAGCAATCTCCAAGCCAACAAACTTTGCATTGGAAATGAGGTCATTGAGTGGTCTTCTATTGTGAACTTTATTGTTCTATCCATGAGATGAGCTTGCAATTGGCTCCAAAACTTACTGAGAGACACATTTTTTCAAGAACCTTTTTGTAACATGGAAAAAAATTGTGCCCCACAGGTACTGAGTGCCTCACTCTTTCTTGTAATCATATCCGTTGTTTATGCCAAGGATCTTCCTGAAACAGTCATGGCTACAGCCTATTTCTGTGATAGGATGTGCATACTTTTTGGTTGTCTAAATAGCTAAAAAATTCAAGACGACAGGGCAGAAGTTGCGTCATGCCATTCTGAAGGAAGAATCTGAAATACTTGATTTTCTCCACTAGTAACTCGGATGGATTTCAGCATGGCAGTTCCAAAGTAGGAGGTAGCCATAAGCCATCTTTGGGTGGCAAGTTGTTATAAAAAGTGTCCTCATGCTCTGGGATGAGCTTTCAAGCAGCCATGACTTTAAGTTCTTACTTACACGACGCCTGCAGCAAGACACACTTGAGAACGTTCTTGGAGCTATATACGACAAATGCTGGGCTTCTACAGAAACCCAAATGTGCATCAGTTCACCTCAGGACTAAAACACCTCCGGATAAAGAAACTGTTCAAACTGTCGGACAATGAAAACGTAGAGGATGACAAGGCTGACCTCCTAAAGGAGTTGCAAATAGCTTCGCACCATGAAAGTTTAATTTCAGACATTGTGGAATCTCTTCCAATTGATAACTTCCCGCCACTAGAGGATACTTCTGAGCTGGCATCAGACATCAGGTCTAACATAATTGATGACTCGTCCACTTTTTTATTACGTTTGGGGCTATTTGATCAAGCTTTTGATTGAACAGACAACTTACAGCTGTGGCTGTTCACAGCTGCTGGGATGAGTCCAATAACTTGACCAGGCCTCACCAGTACTGTCTTGTTCCTAAAGCATACCACGTGCCTGGAAAATTCTTCGGGAACTTAGTAGTACCGTCACAAGCTGCCTTTCATTTCATTCAGCAACTAGAAAATCACTTTCTTCCCATAATAGAGAGTGTGACACATGTTCGAGGAGTCTGTGCCGCCTTGTATAGCACACTTTGAGGTCTGGGTGGTTTTAGCCTTTGCCCAGAAGAGTACCACAAAGGGTTTTTAAAATTGTTTTGCAGAATACGCTTGTGTTGACATGTTTGATTGCTTAACTGGAATTTGGACGAAGTTCGGTTGCACTCTTCAGTTGCTAGTGAGAACGAGACAGGTTTAACTGTTAATAGTGTATTAACAGAGGCGGTTGCCAAACCAAAAACAAAAAGTGCTTATTAAGTGGGCAGTGCAGTTGCTCTCCAAATATTTGTTTCCCCTTTTTCCGGCGAATGTGTATCACTGCTCCCTAACAAAATTATTTCTCCACTTTCTACAAAATTTCTATAGAAAATAGTGTATAGAGGCTAAAAATACTTGAAAGAAAATGTATCCACTTTTGTATCCACTATCCATAGTTCTTCAGCCACTTTTTTTTTTTTTTGAAGCCATATTTCTTTTCTGAACAATTTCGGGGAATGTTTAGAACGTTGAATCTTGTCAGATTTTGAATAGAGTTTTCATTGTTTGGTAATGGCTCGCCCGCAGTGAGTTTGAGGCTATGCAAATTGGTGTTTTTTTTATATGTGCCGGAAATCGCGAATTTGTACTATCCGGTCTGTGCTTCGCACTGTTATTATACTCTTATGACTGGTAATGATAGCGATGTCTTATTTATTTTTGCACTTACTTCCCGTACCCGAGTCGGCGTGAAAGTGAATGTATCATACAGCATGTTGTCCGTGGAAAGGTTTTGTTAACTTGGTTCCGCCAAGAATCTGTTACGAAGTTTACGACATGCCGAAGTCCTTCATATTCATTTATTTTTGTGAGTATCGATCTCTTTCGTATAAAACATACAGAGCTTCTGAAGTAAATCATGTAGACATGAATATGGTCCAATAAAATGTGTTCGAACCACTTACTGTTGTTGACCCCAAAATGCTCCACTAGCCAGGAGTCAATGCGGCGATTGTGTAACCTCAATGCTTTACAATAGAAAAAGAACAAGAAATATATATACTTCTGCTTTGTGAAGTAATTTGAAATATTGTATGACACATTTTGCACGGACTCTATCGTAAAAAATAAAGCAAAAGTGCGTCAGTATTAAAAAAAAACAAAAAAACAGCGGCTTTGAAAGTCAAGGAGCTCCCGAGAGCCGAGCGAAGCGGGGAGGAAAGAGAGAGAGAAGGGTACCGGAAAACCAGAGCAGAAACGCCCAAACCGAAACCGAAACTAACTTGACCGGAAACGGAATCAGATTATACTTCATACCGCCTGCTAGGAGCGCTAGCTGTCACTGGTCTATCTGGGCCGCTGGGGCCTATGGCAGTGTCCGCTCTTTACCTTGTGTATATTACTCTATGAGGCCGGCCCCAGTGTGGTTTCCGTTGTGCTTGGGAGCAGTCGCGTAGTCGCCCGTGTCCAGCTCCTTCTTTGTTCTTTGTTCCGAAATCGGTCTTTTCTTCTTCGGACCCCGAACGTCGCCTCACGCTTCCTGCCTTCGTCAAAGGGCCTCCTTTCGTTCGACACATTGGGGTAAGTGTACGTCCATTATACTATCCTTTAATTTCGAGTTTTTGATTATTTGCCAAACGAAAGTGATTTGAGTTTTTCAGCAAAACAAAGAAGAATAATTCGTTTAAAACCAAGTGCTTTTCACACCTATTGGAGAATTTCATTAGCTTTCGGAAAATATATACTTCGATATGCGTAAAAGTATTTCTCGTTGCGTTAGAGAGTGAAGCAGGTGAAGCGGGAAAGTCCGGAGCGCGCGCGAGCCGCGATTCGATCGTCTAAGATCAGGCAAAAATTAAAAATAAAAGTGAACTACTACCTTTAGAACAGTCTCTTTTTCTGTGCTCTTAGCGCACATGTTTGTCTAACGGCACACGAAATTAAGAATCTCTATCTACTTTTATTATTACCTTTTTTTAACTTAAATCGACCAGCCACCCAGAGCGCCCGAAAACTAGTTTGGCTGGTTAGATCGAAATATGAAGAAGAATAATTCCGTTTAAAATCAAATAATTTTTACACCTATTGCACAATTTCATTACCTTTCGGCAAATATATACTTCGATGTGCGTAAGAGTATTTCTCGTTGCGATAGCGAGTGAAGCAGGTGAAGGGGGAGAGTCCGAAGCGCGCTCGAGCCGCGATTCGATCGTCTAAGATCAGGCAAAAATTAAAAATAAAAGTGAACTCCTACCTTTAGAACAGTCTCTTTTTCTGTGCTCTTAGCGCACACGTTTGCCTAACGGCACACGAAATTAAGAATCTCTATCTACTTTTATTATTACCTAAAGAAAAAAGCAGTGTGTTTAACCCTCCTGGAAAAGCGAACGCCGGCATCGCGCGTGACGGGCGGCGTGCTTTCAAGTTTTAATTAAACGCGTACAGAAGCTTATTTAATCGCAAACTAAGGCGCTAATTGTTCGCTACCTATCGTCCGAGGCAGGCACTTCTAGCACGAATTGTCGATTTTTTGTTATTTTTTGAAGGAGCAGGGGAGCCTCGCGGAAGCCGAAATTCATGCATGGGGCGTGTGGGAAAGCGCGACTTTGAGTATTAATTAGGCGCGTAGAGAAGCTTATTTAATAGCAAACTAAGGCGCTAATTGTTCGCTACCTATCGTCCGAAGCATGGACTTGTAGCACGAATTGTTTATTTTTGGCGATTTTTTGAAGGAGCAGGGGAGCCTCGTGGAAATCGAAATTGATGCATTGGCCGTGTGGGAAAGCGCGACTTTGTGTATTAATTAGGCGCGTAGAGAAGCTTATTTAATAGCAAACTAAGGCGCTAATTGTTCGCTACCTATCGTCCGAAGCAGGGACTTGTAGCACAAATTGTTGATTTTTGGCGATTTTTTGAAGGAGCAGGGGAGCCTCGTGGAAATCGAAATTGATGCATTAGCCGTGTGGGAAAGCGCGACTTTGTGTATTAATTAGGCGCGTAGAGAAGCTTATTTAATAGCAAACTAAGGCGCTAATTGTTCGCTACCTATCGTCCGAAGCAGGGACTTGTAGCACGAATTGTTGATTTTTGGCGATTTTTTGAAGGAGCAGGGGAGCCTCGTGGAAATCGAAATTGATGCATTAGCCGTGTGGGAAAGCGCGACTTTGTGTATTAATTAGGCGCGTAGAGAAGCTTATTTAATAGCAAACTAAGGCGCTAATTGTTCGCTACCTATCGTCCGAAGCAGGGACTTGTAGCACGAATTGTTGATTTTTGGCGATTTTTTGAAGGAGCAGGGGAGCCTCGTGGAAATCGAAATTGATGCATTGGCCGTGTGGGAAAGCGCGACTTTGTGTATTAATTAGGCGCGTAGAGAAGCTTATTTAATAGCAAACTAAGGCGCTAATTGTTCGCTACCTATCGTCCGAAGCAGGGACTTGTAGCACGAATTGTTGATTTTTGGCGATTTTTTGAAGGAGCAGGGGAGCCTCGTGGAAATCGAAATTGATGCATTGGCCGTGTGGGAAAGCGCGACTTTGTGTATTAATTAGGCGCGTAGAGAAGCTTATTTAATAGCAAACTAAGGCGCTAATTGTTCGCTACCTATCGTCCGAAGCAGGGACTTGTAGCACGAATTGTTGATTTTTGGCGATTTTTTGAAGGAGCAGGGGAGCCTCGTGGAAATCGAAATTGATGCATTAGCCGTGTGGGAAAGCGCGACTTTGTGTATTAATTAGGCGCGTAGAGAAGCTTATTTAATAGCAAACTAAGGCGCTAATTGTTCGCTACCTATCGTCCGAAGCAGGGACTTGTAGCACGAATTGTTGATTTTTGGCGATTTTTTGAAGGAGCAGGGGAGCCTCGTGGAAATCGAAATTGATGCATTGGCCGTGTGGGAAAGCGCGACTTTGTGTATTAATTAGGCGCGTAGAGAAGCTTATTTAATAGCAAACTAAGGCGCTAATTGTTCGCTACCTATCGTCCGAAGCAGGGACTTGTAGCACGAATTGTTGATTTTTGGCGATTTTTTGAAGGAGCAGGGGAGCCTCGTGGAAATCGAAATTGATGCATTGGCCGTGTGGGAGAGCGCGACTTTGTGTATTAATTAGGCGCGTAGAGAAGCTTATTTAATAGCAAACTAAGGCGCTAATTGTTCGCTACCTATCGTCCGAAGCAGGGACTTGTAGCACGAATTGTTGATTTTTGGCGATTTTTTGAAGGAGCAGGGGAGCCTCGTGGAAATCGAAATTGATGCATTGGCCGTGTGGGAAAGCGCGACTTTGTGTATTAATTAGGCGCGTAGAGAAGCTTATTTAATAGCAAACTAAGGCGCTAATTGTTCGCTACCTATCGTCCGAAGCAGGGACTTGTAGCACGAATTGGTGATTTTTTGTTATTTTTTGAAGGAGCAGGGAAGCCTCGCGGAAGCCGAAATTCATGCATGGGGCGTGTGGGAAAGCGCGACTTTGTGTATTAATTAAGCGCGTAGAGAAGCTTATTTAATAGCAAACTAAGGCGCTAATTGTTCGCTACCTATCGTCTGAAGCAGGGACTTGTAGCACGAATTGTTGATTTTTGGCGATTTTTTGAAGGAGCAGGGGAGCCTCGTGGAAATCGGAATTGATGCATTGGCCGTGTGGGAAAGCGCGACTTTGTGTATTAATTAAGCGCGTACAGAAGCTTATTTAATCGCAAACTAAGGCGCTAATTGTTCTTTTTTTCCAGGCTTTGCTAGTGGCGTGAGCTTTCCCCGAACCTCTGCCGTCTGCTACAGCTCCTTTGTCTCCTGGGCGACCGTTGGAGCCGACTTCTTGCACGAATTCTTTTGTTCTTTTCACGCGAAACACGGAATTCGGCGGCGCCGAGCTAGGAAGCCGGCCTCTACGAACTCAAACGTTTCATCACTCTCTGACGCACGGAAGAAAAGAAAAAAATATATGTGTGTGGCGTAAGAACGTTCGGTGCATCTTTAATGTAGGGCGCTAGATTGTCTTTTTGTGCAGCGCAAGAGCGAGTTGCACGGCTGGCCCTCCGTTTCAAGTGACCTCCTTCAGCTGCGGATGACCTGTGCTTAATCAAGACCGCTTGAATGGCAACTGAGAACTTGCTCCAAGCAAAAAGTGTTTTTATGAAATCGTGTTAGCTCGTGCGAATTCACTGAATAGGAACAAGTGTGTTTTCATCGAGACAGCTCTCGTCTGCAAACTTGCATTGTCGGCCTAATAAAGTCTCAGGTTATTAAAATGTGAGGTAAAAAAGGAAAATCTGTTGTTTTGTGTTTTGCTGGTGAGGACGAAGCCCCTGCTGTGCACACCTGCGGAAACGAAGTAAGTCCCTTATCAGTTTGTTCAGAGATTTGATTTTTTCCCGTGGTAATCGTGAAAAATAAAAAATGAAAAAGCGCGAGGACATAAATTCTTCTTTCTTATGTTTGAGCTTATTGCAAGACGCTATGAGCGGCGTTATGTTATATCTATACATAGCCTTTGAACTTGTGTTTTTTCTTCTTTCTTTTTGTGATCTCCAGTGTACAATATTTGTCGGTTTACTGTTATTTTTTTGTTCCTTCTCGTCGCACCCTGCTTGGGGATTGGAAATGGCCTGCAGTGTAAATGAATAAAAACCAAATATAAAAAAAAAGAATTTAAATACTTCCCGACGCCATAGGGTCTTGATCTGCTTACAAATGCATTTAAATACTCTTTTCCCAGAACCATAACAGAATGAAACAGCCTACCTCATCGCAGATTTGTATCTGACAATGTTTTGCAGTCGATGGAGCGTTTGTTTGATGTGTAACCCTTTGCATGGTGTTTTAATTTTCCTCTTGCCCACTACTTCCACTCCTCCCAACTTTGTTGTGAGCTATTACATTACAATTTTCCCCTGTTCCGCTCTCCCATTTTACGGATTACCTGGTGTTGCGTTTTTAATATAATATAACAATCTGAGGTTAAACGGACAAAGAGGCCCCTGCTGTGCACACCTGCAGAAACGAAGTAAGTACCTTATCAGTGTTATTCAGAAATTTGATTGTTTCCAATGGTAATCGTGAAAAAAAAAATGTGTTTTTTTATGTGTCTGCTCGCCCAAAAGCGAGCACATACATTCTTTTAATGTTCTCTGTTGCGCTTATTGCAAGACGCTGTCAGCGGCGTTGTATTATCTATACAGCCTTTGAACTTGCGTTTTCTCTTGTTTTTTTGTATCTCTGTACTTTGTATTCAAGTATATCAATCCACAAGTGCTAGCTGGGTCATTTATTTTAACCAGGCGAGTGGGATGTTCCGAGGAACATTATAGGCGCGTCTCATCGATGTAGCTCATCTAATAAGAAAGTGTTGATTAAAAAGTTTACGTGTAAGGCTTCATTCTGTGGTGTTGTGATTTGGCATATCCTCGTATAAAGAAAACTACGATAGTTGGAAGGTTCTAATTCGCAGCGAATGATCGCGCTCTGAATTTAGACGCACTGTTAAATTTTCATCGCTCCAGCTCGTCTAGAACTCGTTATACTCGCGAAAACAGGTTTTTGGGACTCTGCTTGGAGATTAAAAACCCCGACCAAGTTCAATCGTTCACCCGTGAATATTCAAGACCGCTGGAGTGCATTCATCGATCGTGGTCGTGAAAACAACATCGTAGGAAAATGTGTGTGCAGTGAAACCGTGTCAGCTCATCTCAATCGAGACTTTTCGATCAACAGGGACGGTCTCCCGAGCACGAGTGGATTGATATTCTTCAAAGAGCTGCCGCCCCCGCTCGTAATTAGAAAACAAATATAGGTACAACTATCAAATTGTTGGGGAAGGGTCTCGCACCAGGTAGGACTGTTTGTGTGTCAAATTTCTTCGAGATAGCAAACGCAAAAGTTGTTTTATCGACCTATTAAAACCGCTCGGAGAACTCGGCTGATTTCTGGTGTTTTTTCTGTTTTTTTTTGTTTTTTTTTTTGCGTGTTCTTTTTGTAGTGCTAATTCTAAAAGAGAGATGCCGTAAATATCGCCTAATACCTCAACAAAAAACAAAAGTCCGAAGAAAAAAAAAAAACAAATTCTCTCGGGGGATTGAACTAACATCCTGCTGTGTACGAAGCGCGCATCTTACCCACTGAGCTACTCCACAGCTCGGAATAGGCGTGTTTACAATCCGTTTTATACGAGACCCAATAGGCGACTACTGCCGGCACTTTTTCTCCCCCCGGCTATTCTGCCGGCTGCCGGCAGAATAGACACTTCCTTCATTAATACTGGTCGTATCTCATCACCGCTAGCACCGATGTGTTCCTTGTTCTTTCTAGACTCTATGGACACCACTTTGAACGTGTGAAATAAAAGCTTTCGCGAAGCTACGACGCTTTTACCGTGGGCATGGTCATGGCGGCCAATTCTGATTTCCGAACCCGTGTTCGGACCTCCGAGGCTGAATTTTCGTTTCCGAGCCGCGATGTTGGTGTCAAACGTGAGCACGCGTTCCGTAGAAGACCCGACGACTGTAGTTTACCTCGGATCGAGTCGATAGATTACTGTACGAGCACTGATGCGACTTCCCGCACGAAAGCAGTCATTTTCAGGTTCGATATTGCTCACCGCTTCATCATTTGCTACCACAATTTGCTTTTTTGTTCTGAAGCGCTCCCTCGGGTAAAAGGAACGTTCGCTATGCGCGCGAGATTATTTTAATTCATTCATCTCGTGCGGCGCGCGCTCGGCGGAGCGGCTAGTCGTTTGAAGGCTCACCAGAGCGCGAGCAAGACTTCAAAGAGCTGCCGCTCGCTCGTAATTAGAAAACCATTATAGGTACGTACAACTATCAAATTGTTGGGGAAGGGACAAATACACATATGTGCTGCAAGAGGGCCTCCACACAACCCTACAGAGCTTTTTTCAGACATGCCCCTACAGTACAACTGGCCCGACACTTTCTATTTTGTCCCCTTCTGCACTTTCTGGCGCAAGATGAGCTAAAGTGAAGCACGAGTAACCTTCTAGGTTGCTATCTGTTCAGTTTGAACCCTCAAGCTACGTCCCTCTTCCCTCGACGGCCAAAATTTGAACGCAGGCATGGTTACTGCGGAATACAAAAAGTCTGCCTTTTGTCTCCGAGGGACGTTCATTCTGTGTTATGGTCGTCTTTTCCAGAGACGGTGAGGACAAATACGCATCTGTGCTGCAAGAGGGCCTCCACACAACCCTACGGAGCTTTTTGTAGACATGCCCCTACAGTACAACTGGCCCGACACTTTCTATTTTTTCCCCTTCTGCACTTTCTGGCGCAAGATGAGCTAAAGTGAAGCACGAGTAACCTTCTAGGTTGCTATCTGTTCAGTTTGAACCCTCAAGCTACGTCCCTTTTCCCTTGACGGCCAAAATTTGAACGCAGGCATGGTTACTGCGGAATACAAAAAGTCTGCCTTTTGTCTCCGAGGGACGTTCATTCTGTGTTATGGTCGTCTTTTCCAGAGACGGTGAGGACAAATACACATCTGTGCTGCAAGAGGGCCTCCACACAACCCTACGGAGCTTTTTGTAGACATGCCCCTACAGTACAACTGGCCCCACACTTTCTATTTTGTCCCCTTCTGCACTTTCTGGCGCAAGATGAGCTAAACTGAAGCACGAGTAACCTTCTAGCTTGCTACCTGTTCAGTTTGAACCCTCAAGCTACGTCCCTTTTCCCTTGACGGCCAAAATTTGAACGCAGGCGTTGTTTCTGTCAGAAAGCAAAAGTCTGCCATTTGTCTCCGAGGGACGTCCATTCTGTGTTACGGTGGTCACTTTGCACAGCCAGGTTAACGCTGTCTGCAGTCGTGCTGGGACGTCCTTGCTGCGGCTTGGCCGACACATTTGTTTTCTCGGCTTCCGTACTTTCCCACGTCGGCTTGTTTCAAGTCCAGCTACAGCATTCTTGTCGAATGGTACCTGTGAGTTCTGAAGGCTTGATGTCGACCTGTATTCTCTGCACAGCCCCCTACGGGGTTCTGCAGAAACCCCCGTCTTAGTAAATCACGTAGGTTTTCAATGAAGTGTGTCTCCACATCTTACGGGGGTGGGCAAGCAACACCGAGGACACAGTCTTCTTGTCTGCAGTGCCTCTTTATTCTCAGACACTACAAAACCCCACGCCACTGTTCAAAGGCTCGAAAAATCAGGACTACCTTCAGCTTTTGCGTTCGTACATAAACTTTGACACCAGCTGTGTTAACCAACCTGGGCTCGTTCATTACAGGAGGAAAGCAAGCACTCGTATCAAAAATGAATCGTCGCTCTAGCACTCTTCGTCCCATCGTCCCATCTCCATGAATCGTCCCATCTCCATGACTTGCACGGCCTGTAAATTACTAGAACATATCATAACCAAACAACTCGTTTCTTTCTTAGAAATGCATAATGTTCTAAACCCCAACCAACATGGTTTCCGCAGTGGCCTGTCAACGGTAACCCAGTTGATTGAATTTTACCATGAATTAGCCACTTACGTTAACAACCGTACGCAGGTTGATGCAGTTTTCATCGACCTGTCGAAGGCATTCGACCGGGTACCTCACCGCAGACTGATTAAGACATTAATAGATCTCGGAGTTTCCTTTTCTTTGACTAAGTGGATCAATGCATATCTTTCAAACCGTCAACAATTTGTGGATATAAATGGTACTTACTCAGGGCTGTTAGATGTTCATTCTGGGGTGCCCCAAGGTTCTGTCTTAGGGCCCCTACTTTTTTTAACTTACGTTAACAGTTTGTTCCCATCCAATGAAGATGTCCCAATTAAGCTAAGAATGTTTGCCGACGACTGCGTCATTTACAGTCCCGTTGTTGAAATACAAGACCAGACAAAAGTGAGTAAAGCACTGGCTAACATTGCGTCTTGGTGTCGTGAAAATAACATGAAGATTAATATTAGCGAAACTCAGTACATGCACATAACAACAAAAAGAACTGTCTTAAACTTTAGCTATGAGGTTGCTGGCGTAGTATTGACTGAAGTGGATAGTTACAAATATTTAGGAGTGATTTTGTCTTCTGACCTCGGGTGGAAAAGGCATGTGGAGTATGTTAAAGAGCGGGCAACTAACAAATTGTGGTACCTGAAGAGAACGCTGGGTAAAACTCCCCCTTCCGTTAAAATTCTTGCGTATAAGACAATTATTAGACCTGTGTTAGAATACGCGTCTGCAGTGTGGAGCCCATGGCAGAGCTCTCTGGTCAGAGAACTCGGAGATATTCAGTCGCTAGCTGTGCGTATAGTTTTTTCAGATTTCAGACGAACTACGTCTGTGACCGAACTTAAAAGGAGAGCCAATATAAGCCCTCTGTCAAACAGAAGAGAGAGCCAACGGTTGAAGCTGTTCTTTCAGATTTTCAAGAACTGTATAAAAATTGATGG